TATCGACCTTCCCGGAAGGTATTTATGATTCCTGAAGAAATATTGATTACACTGTTGAGGTACAGTGGTGAGGTTTTCTTTTATTTATGTGTGAATGAAATTAGTCTTGGAAAATTTCCATAAGCGGGCGAAGAAATCCCGAGAAAGTGCTACGACTATCTTAAATATGTTTTTTAAAGACCTGACTACCAGCCTTGCTAATTGTTGGAGTTAATCACCCACCTTGAGAATAACTTTGTAACACCATCACTGAGAATTCAACGAGCAAACTATACATTATGGAAAACCGGTGGGAAACAGCCATGTCAGAAGGAGCCGCCGGAATAAACCCTCCAAAAGGATCTGCTGTGAGTGTAAATTCGGATTACAGTTATTATAAATGAAATGACTTCTGTCTTGATCACAGCAGCACGTAATAAGGAAGTTTGTGAGCTATCAAATTAATGAATTCATGTGTTAACGGGTTTTTTCTCAAGTTAGCTTATTCAAATAAGCCACGTACGAAACGTATTCTTACTTTAAACAACTCATGCAGTGAAACATGGTGACAAACGTTAGTGGTCGAAACTGTAATAAAAATACTTTATTTTACAGTAAGACCAAAAATATGATGAAAGCTTTTTCTTTTCGATGAGTCTATAGCGACTAGAACTGTGCGCCAGGAATGGATTATAGAACTTTTTAATTTGTAATAACATCCAATTCAGTCGGCGTTTGTTCCTCAACAACCAAACTTGTGCAAACACTATGGAATTGTGGCATGGGTCGCACTACAGCGAATTCTGTTTGTTTCACCCAAATTTGTTTTACGAGCAAATTTTGGAAAAAATTGTCAGTGGATTAAAAAGATCAAAGACGCCGAAGTGTATGGGTGGGGCAGGCAGATTTTTCCAAAATCACCCAAAGAAAACAAAAGTTCATTTAACATGTCAACTGCGTGTTTATTTCAGGAAATTGGTGCACAGATATGGCGGGACCGAAAAACAAAACATTTCACCACTGTTTACAAAGGCGTTTTATAAGTGTTTACACAAGAATTTAGCTTTGTCGCGTGACTTCATGTGAGACCGGTAAACGAACCCAAAATAAATTGGTCACTGCCGATATTTTTGGGTCTTCGGACCGACCAGAAAAAAAATTCCTTCTAGTGCGACCCATGCAACTGAATAACGAACAAAATCATACAAATAGCGCGATCTCACTGGAAGTTAATAATAATCAAGTTAATAAAATGTTTAGAAATCAAGATGATATGTTTATCAAACCTAATGCTGACGCAAGGTCTCAAAATACTTGTGAGCAGGGCGATATGGCTGATTAATTAGAAGACTAGATTGTGTCTATTTACAGCGAGTATTTGGCAATCGGAGTTGATTCAGAGCAACAAAACTGACGTTTATTGAAAATAAAGTCAAACAGATACATTCTAGTGCCCAGCATTGCAACCCTAGAAGCCTAGGTAATGATAATTGAACTGATATAAACTCGAATTCAGTTTTGCTTTTTAACATTCTCAACAGGAAAAAGTTAAAGAACAAAATAAACAACTTCAGCCTGGATCACACTGGCTGGTGATATGTTCTGCCTAGGGTTGATAAATTCGTTGTTACTTGTGGGGCACAATTTGCCAGTCCTTAGTCCTTCGGTCCCGCCCAGAAAGCTCAGATATATAAAAAAACTTACACTGTGACTGCCGACGAAATCAAGGTTTCTTTCTGAGGATTATAGTAAATAGCCGCGAGTAAGAACCTGCATTTTGCCAAGTTAAAAAGGCTAAACAGGTTTTTACATAAATGGTAACTAACAGCTGAACATTTAGGCTACTTAGGTTATTAAATGGGTTCTTATTTTCTGAAGAATATAATTTCAGGTAAGCTTTCAAATTTAGTGGTTTTCAGCCTATTTCTTACATAACATTAGCATAAAACGTATTCATTAATGCAATAATGACTTTTATTGAAAAAAGAAGTGCTTACTACATAAATGGTCATGTGGAAGTCTTACGTTTGCACATAACATTACATGCTTTCGTATAGTGTGATCGTCCGGGTGAGTGTAGTTCTGAAAAGAACTGTTGTTGGTGACTGACGTTTCGA